ACTGGTTTTTTTAACGTATTTCTTTTAATTTTTAACGATAGAGTGTTTCTTCAAAAACGATTTGTAGAGGTTTTTAAGAGCTACAAGGATCTGTGAATTAAATCTTTTTGGAACCCTTGGTTTTTAAATGGGGTAAGTTTAAAGGGCTCGAAAAAGATGGTGCTTGATCGTAAATCGATACTTTAAACGGCTATATCTCGCCAAATATTCATTGTACAACAAATCTAAATGAAGGATAATTTTAGTCATTAAAAAAGCTACAATTTGGTAATTTGTATTTTTTTCATATATTCAGTATTTTCGGGCATATTTAAAAAAAGAAGGGCAAAAAATATGAAATTGTAAATCGTTTCTCGCTTTAAGCTGTACTTTTTCTAACACAAAGCATTTTAAATGGGTCAAACTTCTTAGACGTATTAACAATACATGTACAAAGGGAATTTCAGAAGGGTAAAGATCGATTTTAATTATGGAGGAGGTTAGGGTGTTGTTTCGATTTTTTCGTAAAAAATGAGGTATTCACCTTATTTTCATCATAACTCACTTAATTTTTGAGCTAGAGTCTTTTTTATGATAGGTCTATTTATGCTCTTTAAAAAAGGTTTTGTGAGTTTTCTTCCAAAAATGCATCATTTTCCCGATATTTGATTTTGAATCTTTCAAATTTGGCATTTGAAGAAAACCGCTGAACATTGATAGGCCGTATTTCGGTTCCTATTATATCCCAAAAACATTTTAAAAAATGAGTTGTATTTGTCTTTTTAAAAGCTACAAATTTGTTCTCTACAATTTTTTTGATAAAATGCACCATTTTCGAATTATTCGCGAAAAATCGATTAAAAACGTGGATTTTTTCGTCTAAAAGTTATTACTTTCAATCGCGGATAACTTGAAAAATATCATTTTATAAAAAAAATGTATAGCACATTTTTTGTTTAGAATCACTTTTTTAATCGAAACCTGTAGTTAAAACGTAAAAAAAATTTTCACCCCGGAGATGGGGTGGCAACCACCCCGTAGGCTTTGGCGCACTTTGATTCGATATAGATTTTGATCCTTAGACTATTACCTACCTTCTGTTAAATTTCAAGTCAATCCAGGGAGCACGAAAAAATTGCGTGCTGAAATGCTTCATTTCCTGGACTATAACTGGTTTGACAGCATAAATCGTAGATTTATGTGTAGCTTTCAATTTTATAAGTTCAGAATCCAGCAGCCCGCTGAAGTATTGGATTTTTATAATATAATTATTTGACAATATTTTGTTGGCCAACCACCTACAGCAGAATTGAGCCGAAATACATTATATTCCTATGTTCCGAATTTATTTAGTTCAATCGGTATAACTAGTTAATGCACCTGAACCTTCAGTATGCTGTAAAAGTCCGAACGTTTCAAAGTACAAACGGTCTCAAAGTACAAGGATCTCCTCTACACTGTAAAACAATTTTAACGTTACAAAAATAGCGTATAACTACATTTAAAAAACTTTCAGAAATAAAAAAACTTCAAAAATAAAAATTGACATTGAAGTATGTAATAAATGTCATAATTTATAAATATTGAAAATAGCTAATTTTACCTTAATAACAACCAACTTTAATAATTCATGAAAAAAATATCATTTTTCTAACGTTTCTTTTATGGTTATTTTTATTTTTACACCTAAAGTCATTTTAATTTTGTAATCATATTACTGTAAATAACGTGCTTTAGACAATTTAATTATGACATCTATTATATACTTCAATGTCAATTTTTGAATATTTTTAATTTCTGTAAGGTTTTAAATGTATTTATACGCTATTTTTGTAATGTTAAAATTGTTTTACAGTCTACTCCTGATGAAGCTATCAAATAAATAGCGAAATATTGAGTTCGTTAGAAAAATGCAAAGATTTTTAATAGAGACCACTATACCTGATAATTTCATTTCTACTTGTTTATATATATATATATATATATATATATATATATATATATATATATATATATATATATATATATATATATATATATATATTGTTGTACTTTTGAATGTCCATTAGCAATAAAAAACCGATATACAAATTTTATTACTTAAATAAAAATTAAAATTATTGATATTTCATAAAGACACGGGCATATAAATTTTCAAACATCCTGTATAAGACAAAATATGTATTTTAAGTTGTTCAAAGAATTGTTCATTAGGCCTCAGAGACAAGACTTTCAAATATTATCGATAAGAAATTTAAATAAGTCGGTTATTGTGGAATGGATTTACCCGGAATAAAAGTGTATATAGACAGTGTTTAAACAATAGACCGGGATTTGCGGTGGTTTTTCTCCCCGAAAGATTATATCGGTAAAAGTTTATTAACAAAAGACATTGAATTGAGAAATAGGTATCGTTTGTAGCTATTAGTAAGAAATATTTGTAAAGCAGATAGATTTAGTTAGAATAATTAAAGAATGTTGTTTTCTGGAATTACCTGAATGACGTTTTATAGAGAGAGTTGGTTGGTAACGATATACGTCACAGAGGTGGATGATTTTTATTGGTCAATTTTTGAATGCAAGGAGGTAGTGGTTTTGGCTATGAGATAGGAGAGAGGAAGGAGTTAGTCAGTTTTCGTCGTCCAAGAAGGAAGGAGCTTTGTGATTTGTGTTTGTTTAAAGTCCTGAAGACGTAATTTACCGGGTGTGTTTATTTGCTGTGTAAAAGCTGACCAGTGTGAGGAACGGGGTACAGAGAGATAGAAAAACCAAAGGGTATAAGAATATTAATATCAGACGAAGCCGGAAACATTTGGAGTTATAAACAGGCGCGGAGATTGGCTCAAAAGGAGGCTGCATAGAATAACACGAGTTGTTGGGTTGCAGATACAAGGACAGATAGGAGAAAGGTGTACGTCATCTGGACCACAATAGGAGCAGAAGCAGAGAAAGGTTTTTTTTTCTTTGTGGCGCAGCCATAGAATTGCACCGACAGAGAAAGAAAGGTCAGTCAATTTTCATTAGAGCAGGAGTGTGGTTTTCATTTATTAATTAAATAAATTGAATAAATAATAGAGACAGTTAATTTTGCGATCATTTAAAAAAAAATAAAATTATAAAAAGTGCTTAGTTATAACACATATAAAAAATCAATGTAAAATAACATTTGGGTCCATGATAGAAAACAACCTCTCATATATTTAAAGTTAGTATATTGCAAATATTACAGGATTAATTGTTATATAAAATTTCATTAAAATAAAGGACATCTCACATAGTTCAGTTGAAATTCTATGTATTTTATTCAGGTCATATTACCTATCCCAATTAGGAAGCCAATTGGAAAATATTTTGAATCCACGATCAAAGGTAAATAGTACAAGTTAAATAGCCTGAGATTGTAATTAATTAATGCTGATTTATTGTGATTAATTGGAGATTAGATCATTTAATAAATATAGACAGGATTGTTTTTTCTAAATAAGCAATATAATACAATTTCAATAGCATAACAATATATATATATATATATATATATTATATATATATATATATTTTATATATATATATATATATATATATATATATATATATATATATCGGAAAAAGGAGTACGACCGTCAATCCAATATATATAAGGATCACTCAAACGAGTGGTGGGTTCTTATATCGGTCTCTAGGTGGAGAAATAAAAGACAAAGTTGATAGGCTACTTGATCTATTTTGAAGACGTTTCGCTTTCGAGTTTTCTTAAAAAGACATGTAGCAGTCAATATTATTAACAATAATGTGAATGAAACTAAGTAAATGGACATAATACGCTGATTTTGTATAAACAATTAAGTAACTAACAACATATATGAACATATAAAATTAGCACAGCAAATGACCATGTGGTCACAATGGTTACAAAAACAATTAACATCGTTTCCATGATTGTGTGGTTCTCATATTGTACTTTTTTAAATGAACTGATGATGCTTTCAAAACTCTCAAAACTCGTCTTCAAAATGGATCAAGTAGCCTATCAACTTTGTCTTTTATTTCTCCACCTAGAGATCGATATAAGAACCCACCACTCGTCTGAGTGATCCTTATATATATATATATATATATATTATATATATATATATACATACTTGAATATTTTTGCATAAACCAGGATACCTACCGAAAGGCCTGCCCTATAAACCAATGTATTTATTTTTGCCCATACCTGCCAATAAAAGCCACGTCCTTTATTTGATAAACTAAAATATTCATCAACGTTGTTAGAAAATATTTTGTTTGGTCCTTTGCTAATGTGTTACGTAATACTCTCCAAACTTTGTTTTACTTTTTCTCAATTTTTTCTCCCCCCATATTTATCTTCTTCTTAAGAACATCAACAAAAAAACCGAGTTAAACTTTATAAGAGAAGAGGTTACTATTTATCTAATCAATAATTTCATATAGAGCAATCATATAGTTGATTTATTGATAAAACAAACAAGCCGTTTATTCGCTTTGAAAGGTACGGACGTAATTTACTTAATGATAAAGTAAACGATCCTAACAAAATAGTAAACAATGAAAAAAAAACAAGTGTTTGTAAAACTTTTTAAATTAGAAAATGGATGAGTTTTTTTTTAATGAAGTGTGTGAAAACATATAGTCCAAGCTGTAGAGACAAAAATTAATCATTTTGAGCATTATTTAATGGATTCTTAAAACCAGCACAGCGTTATACAAGGAAATTTCTGGAGTATTCTTTAAGTGTTTTCCACTACAAACTGTTGGATATAATTTTTTATGGTATTTTTAACGTTTTGTTTTATCCTACGTGCTCGCTTGATCTACTATTTGTTATTATTAATGTTTTCGACTCCAAACTGTGGGATATAATTGTTTATGGTACTTTTTAAGTTTTGTTTGATCCTATGTGCTCGCTTGATCTATTATTTTGTTCAGTTTTATTAGTCTGCAGTTTTATATTTAGCATAAACAATTGTTTCTTCTTTTTGTTTAACTTCTGACAGTTGTTATTTCAGCTTGTTACCAATATCTGATAATACCGATTCTTTATTTTCGATTACCTTAATACGACCCAAAAGAGATTTCTTTGTGGCTTCTAGATTAGAAATATATTCTTTAAGATCGGCGTCTTTCGTTCGCATGCTCATAATTTCTTCGGTTTTTAATGGTATTTTTGTATGAGCCTCATCAAGTTTATCCCGCAATTTTGAGTGCTCTCTTTCTAGTTTCATTAAAATTAAAGTCATGTTACCTTCATCTTTAGATAGTACTGATGTAAGCAGCTCATCTAATTCTTGTTTCTCTTTGTTTTAATCATCAACTGTTTGCTCTAAATATTAACACGTTGAACGCCGCGCGAATCATATACGATTCACGCTTATTTTACTTACAGAACCGCGCGAATCACAATTGCTTCGCATGGATTGTTATAATGTGGGCACCACCACTCGTAGGTGATTCGCGCTGCAATGATAAGTATATGGAAGTTTGAAGTTAGTAGCCCCCTCAACAAATATTTTTTATTATCACGGCCCTGCAGGTAATAAAACGTACTCGATATTGCCTAACATTATGGTGGTTTATTTCTGCCCTTACACCAATATGAACTCTATAGGAGATTAATATAAATATAATACCGAAAAAGTGTTTGTATAGGAAGAAGTATCGCATTCTATATAAAACGACCTATAGAGTACAATTGTGGACATTTGTGAAACAAGTTACACAATAGAATTTGTCACATTGAACACATTTCCATCTAGTTTACGTTGCTTTGGAAATCGCGTACTTTCTGTTGAACATATTAGACAAATTCTTATAGCAAAATACGCATCTGCGACACTTGTTTATTTCTACTTCTTCCAAAATATGCTTATGATAATATTACAGCCCGTTACTTTTTTACATAATATGAATGCGTTTACAACTGCTGATCCAGAGAGAATTTGAATGGCAATTTTCCGATACCACTTTATAGTTCTTCTACGACAGGAAGCATTAGCCTTTATTTGATCAGATAAATCTATGAAACTTTTGTTTTTATTGTAGTCGATAACAACTTTTGGTTTTCTTCCCTTTCGATTTCTTCGCAAGGTTCCAACAAGGTGTGTTTGTCGTTCTAATAATTTATGTGCTAGCTTAATACTCGTGTAATTGTTGTCAATAAATACAGTACGACCACAGTCAAGAAGCCCGTCACATAGTCCTAAAACAACCGAACTGGGAACACTAAGTACACTATTAGTTTTCTCGGTACCACAATAGATTTTAAAGTCATAAGTGTACCCATCTTCTATACACAATTTAAAGAATTTTACACCAAACTTAAACCAATAATTTTGTATAAATTGTAGGAAAGATAGCCGACCACGAAAGAGAACTAAAGTTTCGTCTATTCAAATGTTACCAGACGGCGTTATAGAGTTTTGAAATTTTTGTCGGATGTGGTCTATACTGGAATCAAGCGGCGCAAAATAGAAGACACTGGATTGATTTGGGGGAGGTCTATGTTCAAAGTTGGATTACTTAAGGCTGAAGAAGAAGAAAAGATTTATGAGCGGTTTTATCCTATACAGTCTTGTGGACATATGTGAATTTTTGTTATCAGTAAAATGCCAATTATTCAGAAGTTCAAAACTGTTTCTTGATATAACTCAACAGTTCATTGAAGTATAGCACATTAGAAGACCAATAAGAAGATAGTTTTGACATTTGAACAATTCCAATTCAAATTTGTAATCCCAAAAATATTTGTATTTCATCTATATTCGTATTTTTCCACTTTTTTATTGGAGCATTAGGTAAAAATGCTTTGTCAGCTTTTTGGGTGGATTATCTATTTGTCTCGTTGTCCATCATAGTAAGAAGACTGTCATCCACAAATAGGTAAAAGAAATCTATTGGTTTGTTCTCTCGCATATTTTCGGCAATATCAGAGTTTATTTTTAAATTATTAGCAAGAAGCGGAAATAATTTCAAATTGTTACCTGTGATTACACTCCACTGTAAATTGCTAGAGCTCGTATCTCGAACAACTATCCCTGATGAAAGAATCGCTGCTCCATTGTAATTTCTTTATAATACCCTCACTGATTTTATCAAAGTGAGAAGAACGACTTGTACTTGGACCTAACTCATCAACTTGCCTGCTGCTTTCATTTACCAACCGCTGTTGGTCAGCTACTTTCGAAGCCAAACAAATGTCTTTTTTTGTACGACGTACTTTTTTTCTTCCTTACAAGCGGGATATGTTTAGAATAAAAGATCACTATCACTATTTACATAACTTTCCGATTAATATCCGAATGTTTAAAAACCGTAAAATAGTTTCGAAACACAATTCAGATTTCTGCTTTATTCTGTGCTTTCTAAAAATTGCAAGGCAAAACAGACGTTGATGAAGGCGTTAAAAGAAACGAGGGGAATCTAAAATTTGCATTCCACGACACGTCTTTTCAACTAAGCAGAAAACCTTATCGAATTGGTTTCTTGTACTCGTACAGAGTAGATCCGAATAAAGTGAAAAAGACAGCAAATATTTAATTTCACGCAAACAGCGCCTTTGTATCTGTTGACACGTATTTCGACCTAATAGGTCTCATCAGAACAGTTATTCAAAGGTATTCTCAACGTGAAAGATCAATATTTTCTGTCTTTTAGGAAGCAATACTAAAATGGCTTCGATACGGACGCAATAGCGACATCTGACAATAAAACCGTAAAATAGTTTCGAAACAAAATTCAGATGTTTTGTTTCAATGTTTCTTCATCTGACAAAATTTCGTTCATCATTTTTTCAAGTTCAATTTGTTTTTTTTTTCGTATTCGCCCATTTTAGATACTGCACTTATTTAGACAACGAGGCGAAATAGACTGAATGCTTGTAATATAAAGCTATGTGTAAAGTACGATTTGGAAAAAAAATTGATGTAACATGTTTATTTATGGAATATCCATGACATATAAATATGTTTTGAGTAAAAAATATCCTCGGCCCCGAAAATCATTTATAATATATACATTATGGCGTTCAACGTGTTAAGTTTCGTCTTGTAACATCGAAAACCTTTCTACTTCTTGATTCGCTACATTCTTTTTGCTGTCTAAAAGATTCCTGAGTTTCTCATTCCGATCATGAAAACACGAAATGATTTATTTCTGATTTATTTAAATTTCATTTATGTAAATTTTGTGCCGTTTTAATTCTTGAAATATCTTTTGTAAAATTTTATTTAATGCACAAAGCATGATGTAGTAGTTTTTCTAGATACAAAGCAAATGAGACTTCCTAAGACCCAATCAGTTAAATTCTTTTTGAAATACGTTAAATTGTTTATACAAATTCTTAAATTTTACAGAACTTTTTTCTAAAAAAATAAAGATTTTATTTTAAACGGATCTTTTCTTAGTTAATTATATTTTTATGTAGAAGTAAAAATAATTGCTCAAAAAGTTTTTTAACCCCTTATTTATGGCTTTGAAGTACATTTTGCGTTATAAACTTAAGCTAAAGAGTTTCCTATACAGTATACATATTATTTTGTAAGTACCGTAAAAATGACTGTTCATTTGAGTATCTGAATCAGCTTGGTTTTTGGCTGGTTCTCCTATCGTTCAGACTGGCTCACTTCAAATTCGGGGCTCTTGGAACAGCTATGTAACAGTATATTAGACAAATACCCGTTACTTTGTACATACACACAGTACCTATTTCTCGTCGTTAGAAACACTCATTACTTTTGCTGCAGATAACCATTATAATAAACTAAACGAAATACCCAGATGGCGTCAAGACAAATCAAATTTCTGGGTCGATTGGCATGTCAGTAATCAGCACTTCGAATAATAAACCGTATTGTCACCGGACGCGGTGTAATGTAAAAGACCAAGGATGGAGTAGGTATATTTTATAATATCATTGGTAAATACTATATAAGTAAGGACTTAATCGAAAGAAACCTTTTACATTAAACTTCTTTAAACGTACTAATATTAGAATATTGATCTTATGTGGCTGTTTATATTTTTAAAATAAAATTCATATTTAAATATAAATACCAACTACTTTAAATAAAATAATAATTATAATAATAGACCCGGTAGCCTAATGTAATCCTTAATTGATAGAAACACATTTGCCATAATAATAAAGTTATTAGGTACGTACTTACAATATTATAACCTCGTAGGACAAAAGATCTCACAGGTACTTTCCGAAAAGCAAAACAGCAATAGCAACAAAAAACAGTATTACTAGAACTATATTAGTTATTATTTAAAATAAGTCTGTTTATGCTGATTTACTTCCAGATGCTAATTCACCATCACTAATGTCTTCTCCTGGTGTAATATTAATAAGCTTGATAAGAAGATCAATACGTGTGCATGTCTAATGCATGACTGCCAGTTGGAATCAGTTATATTTTATATAGTATGTTCTAGTAATTATTATTTGTCATCTTTTAATTTAAAGGTTATGTTCTTTTACACTACCTTAATTTTTATATGTGCCCATATCAACTCGATAGGATTCAAAGATACTGTGGAGTTCTTAATACGGTGATGCCATGCTCACGTGCCATTTCGTCTGCTACAAATCTGATGTATGAAGTCTTATGTTTGGTCACTGCATCAAAAAATTAAACTTTTAATATTGATTCATCAAAACCTATATTTTTGCTTCTTATGCAGTATAGAGGAAAACCACTTTTTAAATACATCCGAATGCATATCATCATTATAATCACCCGTTTTGGTTAGGGTAAACACATTTAAGCCACCTTGTAAGAAACCTGAGTTACTTCCTATGTGTGCAATAATAAGGCGTCTTCCTTTGCCCGAAGGTGCATTTGAGCTGGTTTAAAGTCCTTCATTAAAAGCCTGTCGTGAATTTTTAATATAAGGCTTGCTATATTTTGAAGTTTGTTTTTCCAAGACTTCTAAAAACACAATTTTTTTGTAAATAATTTCTCTGTCATATCAATAGTTCATCTCTCTCTAGTAACAAAACTTTTTGGATTTCTCATTTTGCGTCTGCATTAATTTTTCAAATTAACTTGAAAGTCAATAAAACAGCATATACTGTTGTTTGTTTGACTTTCAAAAGGCATTTGATCGTGTTAAGCACTCTATATTGATCAAAGCTCTAAAAGACATTAGCTTGGACGGCAGAGATGTACGAATAATTGCAAATTTATATTGGAATCAAACAACATCAGTTTTAGTAGATAGTGTGGAATCACAAGCT